TATATATCACCTCTTAGCATTTCTAGGAGATATGGTTCAAGTACCAATAAATTACTCTGCAGCAAAGGTGGAAAAATTTATCAGTATCAGCAGATTTTTATGGTGTCAACTGCCTATTCTATTGTGTTGGTAGTTATTATTTCTTTAGGTTTATTCCTCATGCTATTATTACATCAATTAGCAAGATAGAAAGTTAGTTTCTCATTAATGGTGCATTCATCATTATCTTGAGTGTCCCTATCACTCCATGAGTAGTTTACTTACTGAGAATTTTATTGATTCTTCATACACCTGAATTATTATCAACCTATTGACAAAGTAATCTTCTGTTTTTCATATTTTTTACATTATCTGTAAAGTCCCTTTCACTCTGATAATGTAAGTGCTTCTATCGCCCTGGATGCAATACACACTTGCCTCTTGAGAACCAGCCTGCTGAAGATTTCAGCGTGCATCTTTGTTGTGCTGTTCTTGCATACTTGTCCCACTCTACCCCTGGCCCATCCGACTCTCACACTTGACTCATCCAGTTTCTTTTCAGACGTTGTGTTCCAAGTACGGCTCCCTGAGATCCAACAACTTGTTAAAAGTCAAAATGTCCATTTTATAATTCACCTGAAACTTTACTTGATGGTTCAGTAATTGCTAAGACACAATAGCAGGGCAATGCTATACCTACATATCCCTGCATGGATGCTTCCATAAAAGATTCCTTCTTTGTCTTTCTCTTTTTCTGACTACAGAAGCCAGAAATATAATTTCTGAAAAGTAGGATTATTGATTATTCATATTTCTAACTCTATTAAACTAAACAGAGATAATGGATATAAACAGAAGGTGAAAGTGGCATGTGCATCTTGCATCTTTGGTGTGAAAAGCCCCCTAAGGGTTCTTCTGGCCAGAAGTAAATATTTTTTCTGTAACATTGTGTTATTCTCAAGGGACTTCTTCCTAGAATAATGTTATTTTTCTATTTTTATCTCTCAACTTAGTATTATTGAAATTATTGCTTACTCACTACCAAAGGTAGGGAAGCTTTGCATTCAAGCGGGAGATTAAAAATTTGCTGTCCCAAAATTGAAATTTTCTACTTACATTTTAGTTTTTATACATCAAGGAACAAATTAGGTTAGGTATAATGTTAGTCTGTTGTTTAATCCTTATAATGATCATATCACATACGCTACTGTTAATTAGATTTTTATGAAATTATATCCACTTCTTTTACTTACACTTGTATAAATGTATTTTAAAGGAAGGAGATGGTCCGAGGTGGCGGTCATAAATAGGCTAAATAGTGGCAAAACTATTTTATTAAAAGCCAACGTTTCGACCCATCTGACTTTGCAAGGCTTAGGGGTAGAACGGACAAGATACAAAAAGATCGAGAATTGTGGAAGTTACATAATACATAATAAGCTTATTCACATTTTTTATAATGTTTTGTCTAAATATTATGTAACTTCCACAATTCTCTATCTTTTTGTATCTTGTCCGTTGTAACCCTTAAGAAGACCTGCAAAGTCGGGTCGAAACGTTGGCTTTTTTAATAAAATAGTTTTGCCACTATTTAGCCTTTTTATGACCGCCACCCCGGACCATCTTCCTTCCTTTATAATGCAACGGTCAACTATTATATATTCAATAAATGTATTTTCTTTGACTAGCCTATATCTCAAAAACGCCTTGCCTTATTTTGCCCAAATTTAAATGGTTGTTGGAAATTGATCTACAAATTATCCAATATTATTTTCTTAGAAACTCATATGACCCCACTTTTGATTTGGTCCAAATTTGAAAGGAAGTTATTGGTAAAAAATTATCAAGTAGGTATCAATTTTAGAAAACTCCATCCACTACTTTCAAAAAATACTTTCACTCACAAATCTGCAAACTTGCAAACATATTTTCATTGATAAGCTTTATTTCTCAAGAAATATGTCATTCACTTTGGCCCGAAATTGGAGGGAACATGGGAAATAGGGTACTAATGGTCCAGTATTAATTTTATTAAATTTCATTTAACAGTTCAAATTAATTGAAAAATAGTACAAAATGTCTAATTCTCTAAAGTGAGCTTCTTAAGTTTGCCGAAGGTGCAAAAGAAATGCGAATGACAGTATTTCTAAAAAAATTATTTTTATGCAGGATCTAGAGAGTAGGTTGGGAACCCATAGAGATGGATTCTTTCACCTACCATCAGGTTGACCAGTTCAAGTCTCTGGGGTCAATGATAACTTAATCTAAACATAAACATGTCACTGGCTTCGTCAATAGCAATAGGTGTGACCAACAGTGACAACCTCAACAGTGACTAAAGCTCTTCATTATCCCACTTTACGAAGTATTGAAAACTGTTCAGCTAGTCGTGCTTTAATAAAAAGTATATTTCCTGAATAGCAGTTTGGTCAAAAATTGTAACTTGGAACAATTTTGATTCATGATAAAAATCTTTCTAGTGTATCGTTATAATGAAGACCATAAATGTCACCAAGTATCCTGTGAATTTTCATTCTATCTTTGGATCATCTAGAATTCATTTATTCTTTCATTTTAATATGAAAGAAATCCGCTAACAATAGCGTATAAAATATAGATGTTTTAGGAGTCATTGTTAAAGGATGAATATTAATCATTCTGATCGAAACTTTAACTGAAATCAATATCTCACTGCTAATTATGTGATTATCACTTCAGTACAAATAAATATTTTCTATAATTCTGGTAGGAATTTTAAAGTGATGAATGATTATTTACCTGTTGTATTTTATGTAATAAACAACTTGCATAGCGTATAGTATCCGAACGCGGCATAGTAAGGCTTATTTCTATTTCTCTGCCTATGCATAAATAATGAATTATAACAATGATATTTAATATAAACTGCAAACGACACCATTTCACTTAAAAATGGACGATTTCTAGTAATACTGAATATAACTGCTTCCTTGTAAACAATAATTCCTTGTAAACAAAATATCATTACTATTGTGATCATGAGTGGGTACAGCATTGAGCGACTTATGTTACCTCCTCAACTATGGGTTGATTCAAATAATTCATTTTTATAAAGTATTCTGAAAATTTTGCTAGATAAAGACAATATTATTTCACTTCTTTTATTATTTTATTTATTTTTTAAATTGTTTTGCTGTCAAGGATATTTATTGTCACCATATTGTATATTTTCGGTGGCCCAGAACATCTTATCTTACCATGCATCTTCCTCTCTCCCCTATAAATTGGAAATCATTATGTTCCTTGAAAGTGGTTATTAAAAAAAAAAAAACTATTCCAGGATAGTTGTTTTTGGTTCTCATGTTACAAGAGATTTATTTATACAAACATTTTTAAGCATTGAGGATACAACAGCTTTAACAGTGTTGACAAATGTATAAATGTATTGACTGTATTAATTATTGTTTATAATTGAAAATATGTAATAAATATCTTGTACTTCTTCAAAACACATCTAATAAATGATTCAAAATTAATAAACGGTTGGCCAAACCAACTTCCCTCCACGTCCCTATAAATTGCACATCTTTTTCTTCCTTGATATTAGTAATTAAAACAAATAAACTCTGGCAGCACTGTCCCAAAATGCCATATAAATATGCCTGACAAATTAATTTGACTTCAGATAGTTTTTGTTCACTGATATTCAGCATTTTTCTTAATTTTTCCATTATTGGTCTTTTATCAAAGGTGAATAGTCAAAGAATTAGAAAAGATAAAAATAAAAATAGTAATACAAATTTAAATAATTGTTTAAGAGAATAAAAAACACGAGTAATGATTTTTTTCATGCAACAGTTGAAAATCAAGTGCTGTTTGTAATTAAACAGCCAGCAATAATGCAATAAATCTTCAAATAAAATATCTACCTCTATTGCTGTCAGCTCTATAAAAAACTATTTTTTTTTTTTTTTACTTTTGTTTATAAGACCTTGATGTATTAATTGATTCTTACAGTTTCTTAGTGATATGGTTCATTAAATTTTATATATTAAATAAATCGTATCATTATCTGTTTTAGGAACTAAGAGATTTACTTATCTTAATTATAGTAACTTCACTATTTAACAAAAGTTATATGTTAATAAATACGTATGCAATATTACAATTAAACACTTTCTTCTCTTGATGTATTTCTCAGAACAACTGACTCATTGATGGTGAGATGGAATGAGGCAAACCTGTTCTAGGTAACCAAAAATCGTGGAAACAACTTGGTCACAAAATGAGAACGTTTCTCAGGAGTATCTTATTTTGAACAAACAAGATTTCTCTAGACACCTCCCCATCAATAGATCTTGTTTCATACATTTTTCTTTTTCTGGACGAATATTTTTTTAATACCTAATATAAATTAATAAGTTTTTCCATCTTATATATTAGTCAATCTTATGCTTTTCATTTGACAATTAATGGGTATTATAATTTTCTTTTTCAGTCAACTTAATATTTTAAACTCCAAGATCTATCAAGAATGTTTACCTTCTTTAATTGTTTTTATTACATTTAAAGGTTGATCATTTTATTTTACCAATTTATTAAACAATATTCAATAATTGTAATTGGAGGTAGGTATTTGAAAATATTGGATTTTCTATGTTTGATCCTTCAGCTTAAATAATCGCAACATCAGAGTAAATGTAACTGTCTATTTATATGCCTCTAATGTTTGTATCATACCTGAAATTTCCATTCTCCATACCCCTTTGAGTGTAGGTCATTTTTAGAATCCTTATTAAATGATTTTCTCTAGGTTATTATTTACATATACAGTTAAAATCTGCAGATGTTGAATAACTCATTGACTTCCATTGCATAATACTTTGTAAACAGTCACTAATTATATTATTTTAACTATCATATTGTATTTACTATGATTAAATAGGCCTCAGCTGTGATCAGCAGACTATTTGCCTATGTCCTATACTCATGGGGTTTTTAATGTACAAAAATTGTATTTTAAATTAATTATATTGTTTTAGGTTTGCTATCTACTGGAAATAGACCAATTAAATCTTGTGGAAGCTTATTATGGTACTTCCATTGAAGTCATTTGTGAACATTTATATTTTTTAAACTATAAATATAGCCTCAATTTTTAAATGGATTCAAAGGACCATTATTTTCATCCATGCTCTCTTACTACCATTTCTTGTTTTGAGAGCATTTTATGTATGTATTGTACATTTGTTGTTTATTTGTTCCTATTCTTATCATTTTTTGATGGAGCGAAACCGTATAATTTTATAAGATATTTAATAAATGTATATAATAATTTAGAAATACTGATAGCATTAAATGTATATAAGTTTTTTTTTTTGTAAATAAATGTTGAAAAGACTTGTTGAAGTCTGGATCGTTTTGTACCTTTCGACTGTTTGGTGTTATTTTTTTATTTATTGCAAGAGGTTTTTTCCTATTTAATTTTATTTTTAAGATTTGATCTGAAAGTTGGAGATCACTCAGATGGTATTACAGTAACTTTTACAATTATTCAATGTTATTCCATATCTGTGTTATAATTTTTAAGCTTTTTGCTATCCTGTCAACTAATTTATATCCTTATATGTAACTGAAATATACCTGATAGAATTTAAATGTACAATTTTGTAATATTATTTAAATAGAATTTAATAAACTCTGATGTCATGTTTCTTTTAATGATTGTACCTTATTTTATGGTTAAATTATCCCGGTATTATTGTAGTTTATTTGACCATTAAATCTTAATTTCACTCATTATTTTTATATTCATAGCTATAATCTTTTGCTGGTTGTTATTTCCTGCAGTTTACTTGCTGTCATTTGACGTCAAGATTTTAGAACAATTAAGTTTCATTTTTAAATGACAAAGAATCATTTCTTCTTTAAGATGCCTTCCTTGCCTGCAGTTTTGCCCTCATGGCTCATGATAAAATGATTGATACCAATATTGTTCATAGGAGGAGGAGGTAAAACCCATCTTTTTGTTTTTCCCTTATTGTATATGTAATCTGCATGGTTATTTTTTATTCAGTTCATTCCACTTTTACTTGTTTCATAAATTTACAGAAATACTGTCTCGATTCCCAGCATTGAGGACTGTATCTACAAGATAAGATTGCTTTGATACATCATCAAAAAGCCCTGGTCTTAAGAAGATAAAGATGGAGAAACCATGAAAGAATACTTTTCAAAGCTGAATAAGATGCATAACCCACATCTCCCGCTAAGAGATTGAATTCATACTCGTAAGATTTTAATGCTAGGATTAAAAAAGATATAATAAATAAATGAATGAATGAAAAATTATTTTATTGTGGGTTTGGAGTCTCCTCAGAATAACAGCAATGTTTAAAAATATATATACATCAGTCTGTCATGTAGTTATAATACAAATATATACAAATAATTATAAGAAAAATATAATTATACACAAAAAATACTGAGAAAAATAAAAGTAAAATGGCTCTTATCAATTAATTGGTATAAATTAAGGGGATACAGGGTATGACCATCTCTCTCCCCCCCCCAAGGTCGATGGCGCAAAAACCTATGCTCTCCCTCTCCCAAGATATTTAATTGCTCATTTTCTTTTAAAAGAAAGCTGGAGAAAGTAGAATTTAAAAAATCGTTGATCATACCCAAGTACACGTGCTGTGGTCTGTTCCATGTTTTATCCTTGTCTCTACTTCTGAAATTTTTCATTCCGAAAATTCATAACCCCGTCAAAATTCCTCTTTCCCTCAAAAATTTGTATGGCGCAATTTTTGCCATAAAACCCCCTGAGGGAATATATATAGTCTGTGGGCCAGACCACCCTACCGTGCAACCACATCCCTATAAATCGAATATTTTTTTTTTGTTCCTTGTAACTATTTATTAAAAAAAAGCCAATGTCCACACCAAAAAAGTGAACGAACTGCCCCAAACATGGCGGAATGACGACTTTGACTTTAGTTTATAACAGTTTGGAGAATATATTTTTCTTTCTAAAACACTGATTACTTATTAATTTTTTGAAGCAATTCTGTAGAAAATGCACTTTAGCGGCAGAAAAGCTGTACTGGTGTGGGTGCCACAGACCTATACCACACCATTCAGGTCTCAAAAGTGGCTTAGTTATACTGCTACAATAATTTAATTGTCCTAAAAAATTAAACAATTATTTTATAATTTATTATTTTATTTAAAAAAAGTTAATTTCCTTTATTCTATACGGAGGTCATTTAAGAAGGCCTCTATTGTAAAAATGATATAATTATAATAATAAAACTTAATTCAAAAATACTTTGCTAAATATCTTGAATTTTTTATTTAACGTTTGGAATTTAACACTTTGTTTTGTATATTTACTGATTCTTAGAGATAATTTAAATTTTATATACTTCCCCAGAAATGAGTCATATTAATACCTGTTTTATAAACTAAAATAATTTATACCTAATCCGAACTATATATAATGAATAAATAGTTGGCGGGTTGTTTAGTAAAACTCATATATCACTAATAAAAAAATTAGTTTTTATTTCCCTTATTTTGTTCGGAGGTAGCAAGCACCATGCTATAAAAAGATAGGAAATTATAATAATGAATGTATTATTTCCTCTGCACAAAGAAAGATGTAAAGGGGGAAGCTATAAGTTCTTCTAGGTAGCCGGAATTGATTGTTAGTATTTGGTCTCAAAATGAGGGAAAACGCAAAATAGAACCCAAAAATTGGAAAAAAACATTAAGCGAACGAGAAAGGAAGTGCCAAAATCTCAGAAAAGAAAACAAGGATCAGTATCCATTATATGACTAAACAAATATATAGTAGACAGATAAACAGAATATTTCAAGATGCTGCTAAAAGTGGTCAAATGCTGGAGGAGTTTGGATGATATTAAGGAAACGATGCAGGTTTATTATGGCGGAAACCATTTTATCAGCAAGAAAGATTTGTTCGAAGCAATTGGCAAGCCAGCTGTAGTCTAGACGAAGTAAACCAAACTGCTTTGCACTGTTTTGTGTGTATATAGGCAATAGATGTATTATAAAATTATATGAAAAGCCTGTAGTTTTGTCCCTTAATAAGATAAGAAATTTAATACCCATCGAGATTCATTCCTGTTTAGTGCACCAAAGATAATCTACTCAAGAATTGTAGAAGCTAGAATAAGCAATGTTGTCTATGGTCTGAGCAATATGGATTGAGAAACTTAAGTTGCACATTGGAACAGAAGTTGCAAATTGGAGTCTTCACTTTTAGGCAGATTATAGAGAAGTCCATCTAGAAAGAAAAATAGCTGTCTATCTGCTCAGTGCCTCACACCTTTGATTGTGCTAATCTTTTTTTTTTTTTGGGTGGGGGGTACCCCGCCCACATAACACAATATAAAATTAAGAATCACTGCCAATGACCCTCTTGGGTCAGGTTTGTGCTAATCTGCTAGTCTTTCATTAAAGCTCATTTTCCTTTCAGATTCTTTCAAAAATCTTTTGCGATTGCACTAAACAGAAGCAGACCTATTTCCCTTTCTCGATTGAATTCTCTATAACCTGCTTTAAAGTGAAGATAGTCCCAATGTGCAACTTCAGTAGTAATTAAAAAAAAAAAAAATCTGGTGCGCGCAACACACAACTTTCACTTACCGCTCTACTTTGAATAGAAATTATTTTCTGGCAATGCTGGGCTATTATAAAATTTTTGAAGTGCATTTTAAACGGAGCTAAAGCTTAAAGCTTACAGATAACAAATCATTAAGACCATTATAATTACAAAAAGTCTATTTATTATATCGACGGTAGGCAATAAAAATCTAGTCACTCCATCTGCTTTTATAAACCACACAACTTCAGTCTCTGAGCCTTTCAGTTGACAGAATGACTAACTCCAATTTCAACATTTTTGAGTAATGTCATTTTAGTGATATTTCTAGTTGAAAAAGTATATCTATACAGACAGTGAGTAAGTTGATTCCGGAGTAGGTGATTGCAGTGTTGAAATATAGAACTGTGAATAAAGGTATAAATTTTGCCACTAGAAACATCACTAAAATTAATAATAAAGAATGTTGAAATTGGAGTTAGTCATTCTGTCAACCGAAAGGCTCATATATGCCTAGAGAGATTTGAAAGTATATCTGAATATTTAACCTATAAATGATTATGGATCGTAGGACTATTAGTTATTAAACTGTTATTTTCCATTGTAAAGTTTACTAAAACAAAATTACGAGATTTTCATTGCCTACCATGGATAGGTCAAAAGTTGTCACACTAATTGTAAGTGGATAATGTTGGGATTTCACAAAGAGAAAATTCATCAAATTATTCACTAATTTAATTTTCTTAAAGGTTACTTGATGATTTTTTATAATAAACGGCCGATAGATACATAATTATTTAAATATCATATCTTATCTAGAGTTAATACTCTATAGTAAATATATTTAAGAAGGATAAACATATCCATGAAATAATATTTTAAACAATGACATTGGCTAGATTCGGTGGATTTTAAATACTTTTTTTTCAATCTTAGAAAAACGTTTAAAAGTTTACATTTAGTAAGAAAATTCCATTTCATTTTCTTGGTTGGAAACGTGTGATTTACGTTAAATAATGTTAGTTTTCTGAAATTATTTATAATGTTTTTGCTACCCTCCGTCACCTACAACTTTCTATATTAGATACTGGTTTTTTCTAAAATTCTCAGCTTTCCAACGATATATTATACATATACCTTCTGACTAGTAATTCCGAAGATTCATTTTCGATCTAGATGAGCATTTTTATTTTTTTTCTCAATTCAAAGAGAGGTTCTGATCAGAGATTACTCCGAAATTTTTTACTGTTGGAAGGAACTCCAGGGACATATGTGGAAGGCTACCTACAGAACAGGAGAGCCGAAGTGCTGGAATAGAAGTTGAGATGCTTTGAGTTAGACATGGAGTAAATGTATTGGTAAAGGATCGAGAGCAGCCCAAGAAGCTCGTTAAATGGAGGGGCTTGCGTGAGAGAAGACTGAAGGCGAGGCTGACAAGGACTAGAAATCCACTGAGTTCCTAATGTCTGGACAGGACCTAAGCTAGAAGAGGTACTTTGGGAACATCTCTAATCGAAAGAAATATGGTCTAATGTCTGGATGTGGAAAAGACAAAGATTTGGAGGGCTTTACATGTACATTAGACTTTTTTTTTTCAATTGGTTATGGGCCCAGGCATGCTTCCTAAAACTCGAAGGAACTGAAGATAATTCAGAGTGAGATGGAAGAACCGCAAATTAAAATTGGTCATTTACCAACAGACTTACAAATGGAAGACCAAATGTTCTTTAACTTAGATATGTGAGTCCCAATATCGTCACTATCTAATTTCCTAAAATAAAAAAAACTACATGCAATAATCATAGACTTTATCTTCATCAAGTCTATCAAATAGTCTGTGAAGTTCTAACCACACTTCATGAGCTGTATACCCGGTGGGCCAGACCCCCTTACTGTGCACCCCCCCCCCTCCCCACATCCCTATAAATTGCATATCGTTGTGTTCCTTGTGACAATTTATTAAAAAAAAGCCAATGTTCCCACAAAAAAAAGTGAACGAACTGCCCCAAAATGGCGTCCAAACATGGCGGATTGACGACTTTGACTTTAGTTAGTTTTTTTGTTACTGAGAATCAGCATTTGGCTTAATT